CAACACACACAACACACACAACATACACAACACAACATACTCAACATACACGACATACACAACACACACATAATATACTATTCATACAGAGATGTATACGCTAATATATGCGCAATTAATATGAACAGTGTATGTATTTGTGTTGTATATTTTAAAAAAATGAACGCTCGATACATTTGTCCGAACCACAAAATATACGTAGTTATTCATACTTATGCGTGTGCACCTAGACTATAGGTTACTATAAGATTTCGTATAATGCTATTAAGTGAGGATTTGTCTGTAACTCGATACGATGGATACAATTTGAAACAATTGCCTTTACTATTTAATAACCTTCACAACTTTTGTTTAATGAATGCTACTACTGTTGCTAGCTCTATGCAATTACTTTTGCTATTTCGGTTGCTTTGATTCAGTACTGTAGTAAAAATTATAATTGAAAGTGTCAATATACTCAGATGATGCTTTGATATTTTTGCGTGACATCGGATAATAGATTAATAGATTATTAATTAGATATCTACCAAAGAAATGGACAAAAAGGAAGTAAAAAATGGAAATACTTGGCAAGAAATGAATGAGAGACTTTGCAAAATGGACTATAACAGAAATATTGGATTTAGTAACATTGACCGAAATAGAAAAGATTTTGAAAATCCAAAAAAAGTTGGATGTCATCGACTTATTAACTTTTCAATCATCTTTAGCACCTAGATATGGCATTAGCCATATATATTCTTTATATAAACCGCCACAAGTGCTAATAAATATTGATTGTAAAAATCGAGAATAAATTTGAAAACTGTATATTATTTTAATTTTAATATAATAAATAATGACGAAACTTTTCCGAGGGATTAAAGAGGATCACTGATTGACTGCGTGCCATCTCATTGGTGATTGTTCAGTGAGAGTGCATTTTCAACTATAAATTTTCGTCTAGATTGTATTTTTCAATTGATATGGTTTGCAGGAATTTATTTAAATTTTCAATACACGTTATAAGTTGTAAACAGATTCACATTCGATGCATCACAACAACATAACCGCTTGTACAACTATTAGTAATACAACAACTTACAATTACAACTTTCATCGAAGACAGATTATGTTAAAAAAAATGTTACTTTTTATCAATCATTCACTCAACCAACCAATTATTAATATTTTGTTTCTTGACGGATCTTGAGATCCGCTCTAAACTTCGTAAGTGATGGAGAAGTAGTCAGAGAAGGGGGTAGAAGGTAGAAGGTTCCAGAGAGAATGACCAGAAAAACCAAATGCAGATTTTGCAAAAGAGTGTTTAACACGAGTTAAGAAGTGAGAGTAAGAAAACAATCGTGAACCGGGGCGTTTAGATTCAATCATTATATCTGATAAGTATTTATGAATGAATTAATTGAGACTTTTACATAAAGATATTAGTACTATGGTTATTATTACATTATTACAACCACTAATACTACATCATCTTCCGCTGCCGTCACAAAATTTTTGCAACAACTACTACCACCACCACTACTACTACTACCACCACTACTACTACTACCACCACCACCACCACTACTACTAGTACTACACTACTACTACTAATAATAATAATAATAATAATACTCTTACTACTACTACTACTACTACTACAACAACAACTACTACTACTACTACTGCTACTACCACTACTACTACTACTACTACTATTACTACTACTACTACTACTTCTGCTATTACTACTACTACTACTACTACTACTACTACTACTACTACTACAACATATTAAAAACAAAAACAGCATAACAACGACACAACAGCACAGCACAAATTGACATTAACTCCAATTACAACATAACAACATCAACAACAACAACATAACAACAACAACAACATCAACAACAATAGCAACAACAACAATAACAATGACAACAACAGCAACAACAGCAATATCAATGGCACCAGCAACAACAACAACAACAACAACAACATTGTAATCTTTGTGTTAGTCTCATGTGCCTTGTGAGTGACTGCAAATTGCAATTTAATACATCCGTCGACCGCTAAATTTGCTTTCCTTATGCTGAGGTTGTTGTAGTTGCTGCTGCTGCTGTTATGGTTTATATTGTTGTTGTTGCTGTTGTTGGGATTTATATTTTTAATTTTATTATGTTTGCTGTTGTTGTTAATGTTGCTTTATTTTACTGTTGTTTTTTAGGATGATGTTGTTGTTTTGTATGTTGTTGTTGTTGTTATTATGTTGTTTATGTTGTTGTTTTAGCCGCTGATGTTAATGTTCCTGTTTTTGATGTTGTTGATGATTTGTTCGGCGGTTTGTTGATCATATTGTTTTAGATCGTGTTGTTGTCATTGTTGTTGGTGGTGGTTTGTTCAGCTTATGGTATCATTGTTTTTGTTGTCATTGTTGTATGGTGTTTTTAATCGTTAATAATGTTTATGTTGTTGTTGTCCTGCGTTTTTGGACAAGTTGGCGTTGTGTTTGTTGTGTTGTTAAAAAAAATTGGCTAGGTTTTGCCAATGCAATTTTTACTACATTAGTAAAATATGTTCAATGAAAATAATGAAAAAC